AGCAAGGTTACACCTGTGAGTTGGATATAGAAGTGTCAGAATCAATATAGATGTTTTTATTTTAAAGTAAATTCAGATTGAAAAAAGTAAAAAAAAATGTAAATTATTGTGTCCGTCCAAAAAAAAAAAATTACTTATAGTGAAAACCACCCTTGAATGATGGGATGGTAGACTAAAAGCTTTAGTAATCAAAACTACAACATATAATAAGTGTTGTGGCGATCCAGCATAACACAACAGGAAATAATGAAACAGAGAGGAATCAATAAAACACAAACACAGAAATAGTTGAAATTAATCATTATTATTTAGTTGTGCACCACCAAACAACAATGGGGAAACATTACCTGCTCTCAAGCAATCATACAGCAATGCTTCCACGAATACAAGAAACACAGGGGCAGATATACATTTCTAAATGACACACGAACATGTTCCCTAAACATGTTTAACGCACACACATTGTCAGGTCTCCTAAACTTGGACATGTTCCAGATGTCGAAAGGTCATCATTTCATGACTTCTTTAGGAGTCTTGCAGGATATAAATTATCCAATTTATAAAAATAAAAAAAACTATATATACGTCTGCACATGAACGCACATACATTTCCTTCATTAACTAACACTTAACTATATTATATCTAAATGTAGTGTCTTTGCATTTCCTCTGAGCTTGGCGTCAGCTCACTTAACATAATAATTAGCAAAGAGAGACGATGCTATGGAAACTGTAACTTAATAACATACCTAGTTACTATGACTAGGTCGAAGATTGATATAACAATAAGTACCCTGTATCAAGATTGACGCAAAACAACTGAAATTTGACCTTTTTAGAGAGATTTAGCACACAAATAACCACTTCTGGGGTCATTTGGGTGGATTTGACCTATCTCTGGGCCCCTTGCTCGATTTTGCTGATTGACATCTCTTTCTAACCGTCAGAGCCAATGGAATCGAGGGGAATGCCCACATACTCCTCATTTGGTAATGTGTGTGTGTGTGTGAGACTGCCGCATAGTCAAAACCAGAAGCTGCGATAACTCTGGTGGCTATCATTAGCAGCTAACTTTTACTCTCTGATTTATACATAAAAATGGAATTATGGATTATAAATAATGCTGTCAAAATTATCGCGTTAACGGCAGTAATTAATGTTTTGAATTAATTGCATTCAAATATTTAACGCATTTAACGTATGTGCAGAATGGCCCGCCCCATACATCCCACCAGTGGCAGCGCCAGGGTATGGCTGGGGTAGGCTACATCCATACCAAGAAATGGCTTAGCCCCACCTTAGTCCCACTATGAAAAATGATGTTAAAGTAAGCAAAATGAAGTCCGCCAACTCGCACCGAGAATTGCACAGAGAGCAGTTAGTAAGATTGCTTTCAGTAGCCACTTGTCTGGAAATACCGAAGACCAGAAACGTTTTTGAAAACTTTTGTCACGTAGTGATTGTCTTCTTAATAGAACATCTTTGATAATGTCTTCTGGCCAATCAGAATCAAGATAACGGCATGGTGTTGTTGCAGGAAGTCCCGATGGAGAATACTTTTGCTGTAGTACAGGGGTGCACATAACTGGTACGCATGCGCGACAACAATCTGAAATGCTTACCGTCACTTGTGTCACAAAGCGCATTTGTGTACCGACGTACTTGTGAAGCCTTTCCAGAAGACAGTTAGATCACCGGACGACAGAGCTGGTCGCCATGTGCACAGACAGGGCTGCTGTTAACGTCGGTCTGTACAACGGAATTGTGCCAAAACTACGCTCCCCCCCCCCCCCCCCCGTGTTGATAGAAACACGTAATGAAATAAGACCCCAGGGTTTGATGATTGATAAGTGTGTGGGCTGTCTTCCATTTTGACACACAGAACAATGTTATAATAAACATACATACATGCATACTGTATGTTAAATGGATATATCCGCCTTCTTTCATTTATCTTTCCATTGCCACAACAATATACATAAATAAATGGCATATTTTGGACATAGTTCGAATGGTGATTAATCATGATTAATTAATTTGTAATCGTTTGACAGCCCTAATTATAAATTTTAAAAAAATTCCACAAACATTATCAACCTATGGATTAAACGATTCAGCCGCGTTTTTTCTCGTTTTAATGCCATTGAACAAGTCTTTTGATCAGATTGACAGCTACGGTGAGACGATCTCCCGTAAAAGCTACGTAAAGGTACGTGTTGTGATGTCTGTGTTTGCTCCCCCTGTCACGAGTTCGGATCACTCAGTGATGATATATATATATATATATATATAAATAATCTGTGGAACCTCAACTTTAATCGGATATCTTGTATGTGCAGCTACGATAAGTAATAAGGATATATTTTATCTTGAGTTCTGTGCCAAAGTGCGTTAGCATTTTTCGCTCAGGGGTCATTTCGATGCTTCATATGAGACTTGTGTTTTGTTTTGGTAAAAATGGTTTGTATCGTGAGTTAGCTGAGATTATTCCCGTTAATCTGGTACAACACATTAATAGGTTCTTAAATATTAAGATCCCCTGAGACACAGTGTCGTGAAAAAAGAAAAAAAAGCACCTGCCGAGAGGGACCTTGGGGCTTAACAGGTTAATAAGTCATCCCTAAGCAGATGGGTGTGTGGTTAAAATGTAGCAGCCTGCCGTCACTCTTTAGCTGTTCTAATGAAGGTAAACACAGTGCAGTAAAAGGCACAGCTCTTTGCAGATGGTGCTGCTCTTCTCAGATTCTGCTGAGTTACACGTCACTGCCTCCTGGTGCAACAGAGATTTCATGAAGTGAAGGAGGTTTTCCTTCTATAAAACAGCTTCGGGCATTAGATACTGTGAGAGTCACGGACATGAATTCATAGATCAAGAAAGACTGGTTCACAGACTCTCGTGTTTTGCCGATCCAGTGCTTAACCTGTTGAACCCCATCCGCCCGCTGGCGGGGGGGAAAACGCATCATCTGCAGGAAACAGCTGAGGGCTTCTTAATATTTAATAAACTGTGAATGTTTCATATCCATGTAACAGGAAGAAACTCAGCTAACTGATGATATGAACCATTTTTAGCAAAAAAAAACACAAGACTAACGCTGAGCCTCTGAATTAGCCCTGAGCGAAAAAATGCTAACGCCATTAGCACAGAACTCACGGTATAACACCCTTATTACTTATCGTAAATGCAAATCCAACATACCGATTAGCATTGTTGGAGCTATATATATATCTCTTTATATTATTTAATAGTTTAACATTTATTTTCTTGCTGTTTATAGTGTTTATTATTATCATTTATTTATATCTATTCTTAGTTAGTGTCATAAGTTAAAGTAGTTTATATTCTTTTATTTTGAAGGCATGTTTTGGGAACTGGGTGATTAGAGCACCTGTTGTAATTGTATATCTTGGAGACAGGTGGGTGGTGGGAGCCAGAACACTAGTAGTCAAATGGTTTTTTACCAGGGTGTTTCAAGCCACACAAAGGAAAGCCATAGGAATGGCTTAAGGAAAAGAGGTATAAGAAACCTGTTCATTGTACTCTATTATTGGAATAAAATGCACAAATGTAGGTTCTTGTCTGGACTTGGATGATCATTGCCCTGCGTAAGATCCGCTAACTAGTGCCTCAGCGGCGGTTTTAATTCTATAGGATTTTGACCGCTACAAGCATTGTGAGATTAAACAGATTCGATGGGTATCTGTATCATCACTCCATGATCAGAACTCGCGAAATGCGAAACAAAAACAGACATCACAACACGTGGCATTAGGTAGCCAAAACGGCAATATGTCTTACCTTTGTTGTTGTGTGATCAAAAGTTGTCTTCAATGGCATTAAAACGATAAAAACGCTGCTGAAGGTTAATCTATAGGTTAATCCAATGTGTCTGTGTCACTTTCAAATGATTTCTGATAATCAATCAGCAATAAACCTAGTTTTAAGTTGTCAGAATCCAGAGCGTAAGATAGCTTTCGCTTTGGGCAAACTGCGTGCGCATAGCCCCCACTTCTCAATGGTAACGTTGGTGTGTATGCGTAAATTCCCCTTTGATTCTATTGATTCTAACAGTTCAAAAGAGATGTCAATCATCAAAATCGACCAATGGGTTCCAGAGAAACGGCAAAAACGCCCATTTCCACCCAAATAACCCCAGAGGTGGAGTTTTTTTTCTAAACCTCTCTAAAAAGGTCAAATGTCACTTGTTTTGCATCAATCTTGATACAGGGTACTTATTATATGTTGTACTTTGGATTCCTAAAGCTTTCAGTCTACTAACTCATCATCCAAGGGTGGTTTTCACTATAAGTAAACAATTATTTTTGGACGGACACTAGAATTCACATTGTTTTACTATTTTCAATCTGAATTTTCTTTAAAATAAAAAATATCTATGTTGATTCTGAATATTCTACATCCAACTCACAGGTTTATCATTACTTTGAGAAAAAAGATTATTAATTTTCCCTTTTTTTGAAGTGTTGGTCACTTGTTCTGGAAATTTCATTTTCGAGCCTGAGACCTGAAAAACAGGCTTGGGGCTTAACAGGTTAAACAAAATAGCTCTACATCCCTGGTCGAAAAGTCCGAATTCAAAATGTATCTCAAATAATGTCATTGCCCTTTAGGGGCTTCGTACAATACAAAAACAAATATTTTATTTTAAAAAGTAAAGTCCTTTCGAGTCATCTGTCTCAAGCCTAAGTCAAGTCTCAAGTCATGAATACCAAGTCAAAGTCAATTTGAGTCTTTTATCAATGTTAGTCAAGCTAGTCTCGGGTAAAAAAATATGCGACTCGAGTCCCCCACCTCTGGTATATATTATGTAGAATGTTGCCGTATTACTGTATCAAATAGAATACAAATATAATAAACACAGTTAGTACAAGTAGTATTTTGTTAATTGTATATGTATTAAGTGAGTTTTTATTGTGGCAACTCTATACGTATTTATGCTTTTTAGATTTACTTTGTTTCTTTCTCTGTCCGTCTGTTTTAGAAACCGAAAGGAAGAGAGAAACGTCACAGCTGTCAGCAATGTGATGAATCCTTTACAACATCTAGAACTTTAAAGAGCCACCTGCGTATTCATAAAGGAGAAAGAACGTACAGCTGTGAAGAGTGTGGGAAAACTTTCACTAGATCGGCTGGTGTCAAAACACATCAACGTATTCACACAGGAGATAAACCGTACAGCTGTGAAGAGTGTGGGAAAACGTTCACTCAATCAGGTCCTCTTAAAACACATCAACGTATTCACACTGGAGAGAAACCGTACAGCTGTGAAGAGTGTGGGCTAGCGTTCACTACATCAGGTGCTCTCAAAACACATCAACGTATTCACACAGGAGAGAAACCGTACAGCTGTGGAAAATGTGGGAAAACGTTCACTCAATCAGGTGCTCTCAAAACACATCAGCGTATTCACACTGGAGAGAAACCGTACAGCTGTGAAGAGTGTGGGCAAACATTCACTCAATCATGTGCTCTCAAAACACATCAACTTGTTCACACTGGAGAAAAATCATACAGCTGTGAAGAGTGTAGGCAAACGTTCATGACATCAGGTAATCTCCAAACACATCAACGTATTCATACTGGAGAGAAACCTTACAGCTGTGAAGAGTGTGGGCAATCGTTCACGACATCAGGTGCTCTCAAAACACATCATCTTGTTCACACTGGAGAGACACCGTACTGGTGTGAAGAGATCCTTTTTTCTCCCTAACCCATCATGTATTTTCCTAAATCTGAGGAACAGTTTTTTATGTTTTAACCAGCGTTCACACTGTGCCTAAACAAGGCCACAGAGATGTTGTTTCTCCCGATGTAATTCAAATCATTGTTCTACTATGCTATATTTCAACTAGGGCTGTCAAGTTAACGCAATAATAACGCGTTGACGCAAAAAAAATTAACCCCACTAATTATTTTAACGCGATTAACGCATGTGTATTTTTTGTCCTCGGCCGCCCCGTAGTTTCAGAGCTCATCAAGTTTAAAATACCATCTACAAGCTGATGCTGATCCTGCCGTCCGCTTGCGGCAGACCACACTTCCACGCTCACCGGCAGGCACCGACTGGCCATCGGGAGGACCGGGAGGGTATGTGTACCGGGAGTGTATGTGTATGTGTGGCGCGAGCGAGAGAGAGAGAGAGAGAGAGAGAGAGAACGGGCACACCTTACGTGTATTGTTGTTAGCATCTTGTGCTAGCTTGCTGCGCTAACTGATATAAGGAGCTTTAAATGAAAACAGAGGAGCGACATTTTGCCGACAACTGCGCCGAGCACTTGACTTTATGCAGGTAGCCAGACAGTGGGACATTGTACGGAAAGTCAGCACGGATAGTGCGCGCAACATGATTGCAGCATCCAGGCAGCTCCCGTTCGAGCCTATGCCTTGACTTGCACATTGCTCCAACGATCCATCACAGTGTCTCTCTCCACACACACACACACACACACACACACACACACACACACACACACACACACACACACACACACACACACACACACACACACACACACACACACACACACACACACACACACACACACACACACACACACACTGTATTGTATGAGAGGTTCCAGGTTGAATTGAGGTGGATATTTTTAATGTTCAGAGGTTGTTATATTTAATATTCATGAGAATATTTGTCATTGTTCAAATGATAATAAACAAACATTTGCACAAAGCATATTTGTCCACTATCAATATGTTGATAAGAGCATTATTAAAAAATATCCCTCTAAGGAACAGATACAAATTGTGCGATTAATTTGCGATTAATCGCGATTAACTATGGACAATTATGCGATTAATCGCGATTAAATATTTTACTTTTTACCCCAATGTGTTTGTCCTGGTTTGATCAAGTGAAGGACTCCAGCACATAATGAGGTATTACACAACAAAAAGTGTGTTTCTCCAACAGTTTAAGTCTCTGAACACCTATAAAAGAAGTTCAATCAGAATCATAAAATTGTTCTTTCAATTGTTTGTGGTGGAATAACTGTATGGAAACTATTTTGATCAACAATGTATAATTTAAGGTATCTTTTAAGCAAAAATGGTAAATATTTAGCATTAGCAACACAATTTTTCACGCTAATTAACATTTATATCTGGCTGTTGAGGGCTCTGAAGTGAAGTGTATTTATTACGGCAAATCCATCAATCCAAGTGAATCAAAGTTTATTTATTCAGCCCAATATCACGAATTATACTTTACAGTTTATACAGAGAATGAATATGCCAGAAATTCACGGTGCTCGTTAAAGAATATTCCTTAAAGAGAAAGAGTTAATAGCCCTTTCTCAATTGTCAAATTTCCGCTTGACTCCACGGTCCTCCGGTAGTGACCCAGAAATCGATTTCAGCACGCCATGTTGAAGGAAAACTCATTTCGACCGGACTTATCTTAACCAATGACAACTCTGCAAACTGTCTCTCCCCTGGATATTCGGCTACTTTTTTTATTTTATTAACTGCTTTAATCATGACGCAATGTTTCCAGTGAGAACAGCTGCTGAACAGTTTGTTTAATATATATCACTCAATAATATATATAACAGGTCTAAATAACACTTTATTTGCAGGCTATGATAGATATCTACAAACAAAGAGTCAATATTTTTCTAAAACCAGAATTAGGTGTGTGAGTCTGATATCAGTAGTGTAGATGTGTGAGCATGTAATTGCTTTAAAGTAATTATTAATGAAAACCTGGCAGAAAGTGCTGTTTTAGCCTCTTAAATGTAAAGATTTCCTGCTATCCAATGCTTCCATCATATTATACTGAGTATTTGTGGGTTTGGACTCGAGAAACTGAGATGAACCCTTTTTAAAAATATTTTTCCACCAATTATCCATTAATCAATTTTCCCAGAAAAGATGCAGATGAATCATTAATGAAAATAATTGTGAGTTGAAGTCCTATTTGTGAGGAGACTCAAACTGGTTAAGGATCATCTCATGTATTACAAATTGATTTTCTGGCAAGAAATGAGTTTGTGGAAAGCTTAGAGGCAACATAATCAAGCTAAAAGCCAATACTGACATATCAGCAGCAGTAATTGAGCAAAAATAGCTTTTTTTAACATCTACATCCTCTTGTGTGTTGTTTGATCATGTAGAGCTACAGGTGGTCATGTAGAGCTGCAGGCGATACTCTAGAGCTGCAGGTGATACTATAGAGCTGCATCATGTAGGGCTACATCATGTAGGGCTACAGGTGATCATGGAGAGCTGCATCATGTAGAGCTGCAGGTGATCATGAGCTGTGTGTCAGCAGCAGCTGATCCTGATCTCTGATATTGCGCCATGGGGAAATTATTTTTACCGGACATTTTTACCGGAGGGATATAGATGTGCCGGTCTTAGTCCGTCAATTACCGGATAACGGAAACTCTGCCCTATGTTAAAAAACAAATGTCCCATTGAGAGATAATAAGGTAAAGATGACCTGCAAATATTGTAAATATACTCACACCATACAGGAGGATAATGGTTGGACATGTAAACTGCCATCAGGTCTGTGGGCCTCTGTCCTTATTTCCCTGTTTTGTCTCGGCCACAGTCAGACAGACCGGATCTTTTCACATTAGCCAGTTGTCATTTCTGCAACTATTGTTGACAGTTTAAGAACAATGTATTAAAAAGGAAGAAGAGAGCCCACCACAAAACAGTTTTAATATGTATATATATATGTTTTGTATTTAATTGTATTCTATTTATTTATTTATTTGTTCACTTCCGGTGACGTCACCACTTCATATATTTTCATGATATATACAGTACCAGTCAAAAGTTTGGACAGTCCTCATTCGATGGTTTTTGTTCATTTTAATAGTTTTTTACTTTGTAGAATAATACTGAATACATCAAAACTATGAAAGAACACATATGGAATTATCTAGTTAACAAAAAAGTGTTAAAAAATTCAGAGTATGATTTTTATTTTAGAGTCTTCAAAGTAGCCCCCTTTTGCCTTTATGACAGCTTTGCACACTCTTGGCTTCTCTCAGTCAGCTTCATGAGGTCGTCGATCCGGAAAATGTCAAGAACTTTGAATGTATCCTTAAGTGCAGTTGCTGTTGTCACTGTTGGTGATTTATTCAGAATTCAAGGCTCACTTAACCTGCATGGCTACCAAAGCATTCTGCAGCAGCCAGCAAAATATTAATCAAATTCTGGATTTTTTTTTACATTTTTTTGTTTACTCGATAATTACATACGTGTTCTTTTATAGTTTTGATGTCTTCAGTATAAATCTACAATGTAGAAACAATTAAAATAAATAACAAACTAATGAGAAGGTTTGTCTAAACTTTTGACTGGTAGTGTAAATAGAATGTATCTTACTGTGTTAATGTTTGCACCACTTGAGCCAATTAAACCTACTTCATCCATCACTGGATTCTGATTTTAAAACTATCACACAGATATTTTAGTGTGTCAATACCTGAAAATAAACCAGCAGAGGGCGATAAACCTCTCTTTTCCCAGCAACATCAACCAGCTCTGACTGAGAGATTCAAGGCAATCCTTACTGCCTTACTAATTGTAGGCCTACTTGATTAAAAGTAGAATTACTCAGGTATTTTACTTGAGTAAAAGTAGAAGTACTCAGATCTTATACTTGAATAAAAGTAGAAGTACTCATGTCATGTACTTGAGTAAAAGTAGAAAACTATCTACTCTTTGTTTATAGATCTACTAAAGCCTACAAATAAAGAGTGTAATTCAGGCCTGTTATATATATATAATTGAGTGATATATATATTATATACTTTACATTACATTGCATTTAGCTGACGCTTTTATCCAAAGCGACTTACAATAAGTACATTCGACCAGGAAGACACAACCTTGAAGAAAACAGAATCAAATAAGTATATCAGGTTTCATAGAGCCAAACATCTCAAGTGCTACTCCACTGGCTTTAGGTAAGCCAGTCCTTTATTAGTATAAAAGTGCTTCGTTAATAGTTCTAACGCTCGAAGTGGAGTCGAAAGAGATGAGTTTTCAGTTTGCGCCGGAAGATGTGCAAGCTATCTGCCGTCCTGATGTCAATGGGGAGCTCATTCCACCATCTTGGAGCCAGGACAGCAAACCCACGTGTTTTCGCCGATGGGAACTTGGGTCCCCCTCGCAGCGAGGGCGCAACGAGTCGTTTGGCTGATGCAGAGCGTAGTGCACGCGCTGGGGTGTACGGTTTAACCATGTCCTGGATGTAGGAAGGGCCAGATCCATTCGCAGCATGGTAAGCAAGTACCAGTGTCTTGAAGTGGATTCTAGCAGTTACCGGAAGCCAGTGAAGGGAGCGGAGGAGCGGAGTGGTGTGGGAGAATTTAGGAAGGTTGAAGACCAGACGAGCCGCTGCATTCTGGATGAGCTGCAGAGGTCGGATGGCACATGCAGGTAGACCAGCCAGGAGGGAGTTGCAGTAGTCTAGGCGTGAGATGACGAGAGCCTGGACCAGAACCTGAGTCGCTTTCTGAGTCAGCTGGGGACGTATCTTCCTGATGTTGTAAAGCGTGTATCTGCAGCAGCGGGTTGTAGCAGCGATGTTTGCAGTGAAGGACAGGTTGTTATCTAGGGTCACACCCAGATTCCTTGCAGTCTGAGTCGGGGAAACAACTGAGGTGCCGATGTTGATTGTTAGGTCAAGAGTGGGACAATATACTTTC